TTATTATTATTATCTTTTTTTGACAGGATCTCTGTAGCTCAAGCTGGCCTTGAATTTTCAGTGATCCTCCTGCCTCAGTCTCCTAAGCTCTGGGATTACCCATGTGAGCCATCAGGCTGGATGACTCCTTTCTAGTATAAGCCTCATTTTAGAGCACTTGGGTGACTGTTCCCTGTTTCATCTGGGTCACTATAAGTTTCTTATAACTGTTAAAGTATCTGGACAGGAAAATAACTGCATTAATTTGATTATACAAAATATTAGAAAGACTTGTTTGTCCTTAGGTTATACATTGGTCAGATTTGAAATGTGGTCTGGACTTGGTGACACATAACTTTAATTCCGGCATTTGGGAGGCAGAGGCAGGTGGATCTCTGTTAGATTGAGGCCAGTCTGGTTTACATAGTGGGTTCTAGGCCAGTTGTGGCTATGGGGAGACCCTGTCTCAAAATGACCAAAGGGGCAAGAAATCAGCAAGAAAAGTAAAAAAAAAAAACAAAAAAAAACCCAAAAGAAAACAAAGTTAAAAGAAAGTTATTTTGCAGTGCTAGCTGTTGACTCACAAGATTGAATATTTTATTAGTAATCAATTGGTAAAGCCTTATTGAGAATTAATGTGTCTGGTTATGCTGAGTACTGGCTTAATTAAATAGTTATATAATCCCTGATATGAAGATGTTCATGAACTAGTTAATTTAATATATATTTTGTACTCTGTATGCCATATGTTGTATATGATATGCTATTATGTGATAATACTGTGTGTATTATATAAACATTCATGATACTACACTGTGGTATTTTATATGATTATTATTTACTTCATTCCATCAGTTATATTTCCTTAATTCATTACTGAGTATATATCATGCGTCTGTTTGTCTATCTCTCTCATAATTGATTGCTGTGAGAGATACCTATAGAAAATGCATCTTTTTAAAACAAATATTTTATGGGCTGGAGAGCTGGCATAGCTGTTAAAGGCTCAGGCTCACAAGCAAAAAAATATTTCTATTTTATGCCTATGAGTGTATTGCCTGTATGTATGTAAGTGCATCTGTGTTGTGAAGTGCCTACGGAGGTCAAGAGGAAATCTGGAACTGGAATTATAGTCAGTTACTGGCTGCCATGTGGGTGCTGGGAACTGAACCCAGCTCCTCTTTAAGAGCAGCCAGTGCTCTTAACCGCTGAGCCATCTCTCCAACCTGAAAATGAATCTTTTGAAAATAATTTAGTTTTAGGAATTTCATACAACGTATTTTTATCATATTTAACTCTTCCTTCCATCTTCTCTCGGATCCACTCCCATCTCCTTATAGTCCCCCAACTTGGGGTCCTTTTTTTCCTTTAAAGCTCATTGGGTCTATTTTGTGGTCCCCAAATGCTCTCAGATGTGAGTCCATCTCCTAGAATGTGGTCTGCTTTCCAGGTATCACACCCTTCAAGAAAACTGACTTTACCTTTTCCAACAGCTGTCAGTTGCCTTTAGCGCCTCACCTAGGGGTGGGCCTTCATGCCCACTTTCCCTGCTCCGTGCTGGAATTTTGTCTGGTTTGAGCTTGTGCAGGTCTTGTACATGCTGTCATAATCACTGAGTTCATGTGTACAACTGCTGTGTTCTTACGTTCATCTGTCTGGAAAACCCTGTTTTGTTGAAGTCATCCACTGCTCTTAAATCCTTTCACTCCCTCTTCATGATGATCCTGGGCTTTTGGGGTATATGATATAGATGCCTCATTTAAGGCTGAGTACTTTCCAGTCTCTTATAGAAGTGAATCTTTTTTTGAGACAGAGTCTCCTTTAAGTCGCAGCTTGCCTAGAATTCGCTATGTAGACCAGGCTGGCCTCATAGAGATCTGCCTGCCTTTGCCTCTGCCTCTGAGTGTACTACCATGCCCTGTTTCTGTTTTTGTGTTTTTTTTTTTTTTGAGACAGGGTTTTACTTTGTAGTCTTGGCTGACCTAGAACTCAATATGTAGACCAGGCTGGACTTGAATTCACAGAGATCTGTCTGCCTCTACCTCGCAAGTGCCGGGATTAAAGGTATATATCACTAGGCCAGGTAGAAAATGAATCTTAGAGGGGTGTGTCGTTCCATCTAGTTCATAAGACTCTTAATGTGTTATTATTGAAGTAGAATTTAAGATGAATATTGAATAGTAACAAGGAATGGATCAGTCTATAAGAAAAATGAATTGAGTATATATTCAGAAATGCTCAGAAGACTTATTTGAAAAAACACTTCTACAGTGGTACAGAAATGATCAGTAAGTGTGTGAGAAGATGCTCAGTATCAGTAATTAGGAAATGCAGAAGCATATGAAGTATCAATTCCACCCAATAGAATGACTACTATTAAACAACAACCTCCAAAAAAAAAAAAAAACCAAACCACAACCCTCCCCCTCAAGAACCTCCCAAGACTAAAAAGCATTGGCCAAACTGTAGAGAAATTAGAACCCATGTAGGTGGGTGGCGATATAAAATGGTAAAGCTGCTGTGAAAGACAATTATGGTAGTTCCTCAAAAGTTTAAAAATAGAGTTACTGTATGATTTAGCCTTTCATCTTGTAGGTGTATACCCAAAAGAACTGAAAACAAGATCTAAAAAAATGTTGCTATATACTTAGCAACATTGTTTATAATGCTAAGATGTGGAAGCAGCCAAGTGTCTATCAACTGACAAATGTAAAAGGAAAATGAGGACTATGCAGGTAGTGGAACAGGGTTCAACCTTAACAGAAAAGAATTTTCTGACATGTGTTATAACATAAATGAACCTTGAGGACTTTATTATAAATAAAATATAGAACTGTAGACTTAAAAATGGTTAAGATCGTGGCTGGAGAGATGGCTCAGCGATTAAGAACACTGGTTGTTCTTGCAGAAGACCCGGGTTTGAATCCCAGCACCCACATGGCAGCTAACGACTGTCTATAACTCCAGTTCCAGGGGATCCGACAACCTCTTTTGACCTCCATGGGCATGACACGGGTGCACTTACCTACATGCAGTCAATACACTCATACACATAAAATAAAAATAATAAATTTAAAAAAATGGTTAAGATAAGCTGGGCATGCAGAGGCAGGCAGTTCTCTGAGTTTGAGGCCAGCCTTGTCTACATAGGTATTTCTAGGCCAGTCAGGGTGACGTAGTGAAATCCTATCTCAAAAAAAAATCAAACAAAAAAATAGTTAGGATGATAAATTTTATGTTAAGTGTACTTTATCCATAACTGAAATGCAAACAGTGAAGTTGGTAGAGGGGTTCATATTCGTGCATTTTGCTAATCTGCTTAGGTATTGTAATTTTTTTTTGTACAGGGTCTCAAACCTGTTTTATATTTTATATTTAAAAATTGTCTTCTCTTATTTTGCAGTCGAGAATGTAGGGAATACAACATTGAGGTATTCTGCTGTATTCATTGCCTACTCATTAGATTTTTTTCTTATATTAAAAATGAAGGCCATTATTCAATTTAGTTAAAGCTAGAAATTACTCAACAGTTTGAATAAACTTATCCCAATGACATGGAAACCTGATTGTGCCATTTCTTTATCATTTATTTTGTGTCATAGAAACAGTTTTGTATTTTATTTCAAATAGTATTCAATTAAGTATTCAGTTATACTTTGAAAGTTTGGATGCAGGTATTATCTAATATAGATGTTCATAATCTAGTGTTGATTGTAGTTAATATTTCAGTACAATAATTGCCATTTTTACATTTTTCTAGTATCAGTTACCTGCTGTGTGTTTTTTTTTTTTCTTTACAGACAGAAGAAATGCATGAGTAAATTATTGGAGTACAGTGCGGATGTCAACATTTGTAATAATGAAGGCCTTACAGCAGTATGTGCTATGAGTTTTATCTGAAATTTTAGAAACGCTTTTTAGAAAATAACGTTGTTGAATATGATGGCAATGCAAATTATGGTACAAGCATTTTTTTCAAGTCAGTTCTTTAATTAATTATAAGGTATAGAATGATTTTAGATATAGTTTTCAATTATATTAAAACATGTTCACCATATTTTCCGTTCTCTTTAGATTAGTACATTTATTTTGATACCTTATTCCCATAGTTCTTGTCACTGACTTTCATTTAGGACTATTTCTGCCAAAGTGTATTTTCAGTTCCTTATGCAAGAGTTGTTTTCATTGTGCTCATTTTAGGAACATCATACGGCTATGCAGACAGGGTGGAAGTTAACAAAGGGAGAACACTCCATTCGTTCCCTGTGCTCAGAGACAGTCACCATTAGCATGTGCCCAATATCTTCTTCTTCCTCGTCTTCTTTTTTTTTTTTTTTTTTTTTTGGTCCTTTTGAGACAGGGCCTCCCTGTAGCCCCACCTGGCCTGGAACTCGCTGTGCAAACCAGGCTGGCCTCTAATGCACAGAGATCTTCCTGCCTCTGCCTCCAGAGTGCTGAGACTACAAGCATCTGCCACCATGCCTGGCTTGTTTAAACTAGTATTTTTTCATCCATTTTTCCTGTATCATCTTCTTTGCAAAAAGGAGTAGGATCCCCTGGAACTGGACTTAGAGACGGTTGTTAGCTGCCATGTGGGTGCTGGGAATAGAACCTGGGTCCTCTGCAAGAGCAGTCAGTGCTCTTAACTGCTGAGGCATCCCTCCAGCCCCAATTGGCATACTTTTAAATCCAAAATACCAGGAAATGTTACTGGATACTGCTGAAGGGATGTTCAAATCATAAAATTTTAATCAAATCATTTATTAACATTATTTATTTTAGAAGTAGAGATAAAATAGATTTAGCTGAGCAGCTGCGATTTTCTTTGTTGTTGTTTATTAGTTCTTTAAACATTTTATTTATTTTATGTGTATGCGTATATTGCCTGCATGTAGGTGAGTGCACCCGTGTTGTGCAATTCCCGTGGAGGACAGAAGCAGTTGTCCGATCCCCTGGGACTGGAGTTAAGGACAGTTGTTAGCTGCCATGTGGGTGCTGGGATTTAAACCCGGGTCTTCTGCAAGAACAACCAGTGTTCTTAACCGTTGAGCCATCTCTCCAGTCCCTATTTATTTATTTTTTAGGTGTTTTGAGACAGGGTTTCCCTGTAGCCCCAGCTGGCCTCAATCTTACAGAGATCTACCTGCTTCTGTTTCCCAAGTTCTGTAATTAGAGGCATGCCCCACCATGCCTGACGGGGCAGATATTTTGAAGATAATAGCCCGAGAAAAGGTTTTTTTTGTTAAGTTGAATTTAACCTTTCTTTGATAATAGGAATTTTTGATAACTTGTAAAATTTGAACATTTACTTACCAAACCAATTTTCACAACCTTTTAGATTAAAAATTTATTTTGATTTTTGAAGCAAGCTCTTGCTATATAGTCCAGATTGGCCCTGAATTTGTGACAGTCCTCCTGCCTCAGCTTCTGAGTGCTGGGATTATAGGTGTGCCCCACCATGTTTGGCTCTTGATTAAATCTTTTTGTTTTGATATGGGGCATAAGAGAAAGCTTCCCTGAGATTTTAAGTATTCTGTGAATGGCTTAGTATAGACTAGGCTCAATCATGATTATCATACATAATATGTAATTCCTGTGAAAATTCAGATTTTGCTAATGTATTAGCAATATAACACCATCCACTCAGTAAGGTGATATTACATTGAGAATACAGAATGCTTAGAGATACAGTAGGTGCCACAGAGAGGTAGAAAACCCTAGAAGTAAAAAACCGGCATGGCAGTGCATGCCTTTAGTCCCAGCACTCAGGAGGCAGAGGCAGGCAGATCTCTGTGAGTTCAAGGCCAGCCTGGTCTGTATAGTGAGTTCCAGGACAGCTGGGGCTACAGAGAGACCCTGTCTCAAAAAAAAAAAAACTTGTTAATTTTAAGTGACAGGTGTATTTTTAAACACTATTATTAGACTCCTTTATATATTCAAGAGAATAGTGCTTTATCAGGAATGTCATTTGCAAATACTTTCTCCCAATCTTTAGTTTGTTTTTTCAAACATTTAACAGTCTTTTTTGGAGAGACCGTTTCACTATGTAGTTCTGACTGCCCTAAAACTCAAGGTCCTCCTGCCTCAGCCTCCCGGGTGCTGAAATTACAGCTGTATGTGATCACACACACACACACACACACAGAGAGAGAGAGAGAGAGAGAGAGAGAGAGAGAGAGAGAGAGAGAGAG